CCCCCCCCCCCCCCCCCCCCCCGCCTCTCTCCTTATGAAGTCAAGCCGGGTCGAGGGCGAAGCTAACGATCCGAAGGTGGAACCTGGACGTGAGTACGATGTGGACCCGAAAGGTGTCGGCTTGCTTTGTAACTTGCGCTCATAACGTGTGCGAACATCGTGCGCTGTTGCCTGAAGTTCCACACGGGTCAACCAACGGTCAGCCTTATGGCTACACTAAGATAAATGTACCGAGTACTCTGTCGGCCTGTTGCCGTAGCGTCGCTGGGAGATGATGTCGGCAACCTCTTGAAAACTGTCCATAGATCGTGGGTCTTGCGATCGTCGTCCGGGAAAGTCGTCATGTTCTGCTGGAGTGAACAGTGCTAACTTAGAGCAATGGAAGACCGGTGTCGGCCGGCCAAATCCAGTCGGCCTCCCGAAATGAGAGAATTATAGGCCTGCATCTAGCGATGCTAACCATTTCCGACAGCGAATGCAACAGGCGAGAAATGAGAAGACAGGGCGTTCAGACTGAACCCTGAACCCCGTTTTCCGTTCCCGCTACCATGTATACTAGACCTACTTTATACTAAATATTGTATCATCTTTTATTTGGTTTTCAGAGCTCCATAACGGGGCGATTTTGACTCTACAAGCATTGGCACTAGTGCTTGACCCCAGCCGCATGCGTGGGACTCCACACAAGTGATTTTGAGGGGTCAAGCCAGGGACGATGTTTCATTTATTTTTGCGGCTACGCTTAAAATCATAAAACAAAGAAAGGAATGATAAAGAAGACTGTAAAACTCACTGATTATGTTGATTCCCCTTTTTGTGTCAAGATTATGTTTTCATACAAACCACCTTGATTCTTGCTATTATGTTACACCCCTATGTGGCCCCCATTCATGTGTGCATCCAACCCTTGGACTATGTTTTGCATGGACTAAATGAGTGACATGGGTAAGGAGGCCTATATCGGCCTATGGTTGATCCCGCACGTGGGGAAGTGGACTGTGACTTGGGACGAGAGACGAGGCTCGCACGTGTTCGGGCAAAGTCCGCATAGAAAAGTATCAAGACTGCAACGACGGTCGATGGTCAACTACACCGAGAAACGGACCCTTACGGCCAGCCTTCGGAGCAGAGCTACGGAATCATGTCACGACCTACATTCTTCCGTGACCAGAGGCAGCCAGCCTGAAGCGGTAATGAGCGCAGCCGTTGTCGTGACCAGTGGGTCCCCAGATAAGTCTTGTATATTGAGAGGCGGTATATCGCAGAATTGTGCAAGGCAGAGAAAACCGGAGGCAAGAAGGGTAAGAGGAGTAAAGGCATTAACGCTAACACTTGGGGATTTGGAGGTTGCCTCGGGTCGCCGGAGCCACTGGACCAAGGAGAAACTAGCGGAACGGCGAGCGGCAAGAGGCCGTAAGAAATTAGCAAAGGCGGCACTTCCCCCAAAAGGGAGAAGGACCGTCGGGGAAGGTGGTGTCACAAGTTGCACGACACAGGGAGAAAAGAATCAAAAAGAAAGAAATAAGTGGGGTGCCGGCGCGCGAGGACGTGGCCCGGGCCAAGAGGGCCACCGGGATGCGACGTCAAGAAGGCCAAGGGGCCAAGGGCCAAGTAAAGAGCCACAACCGGAGAGATTGGCCTACGGAACGTGAGGAAGACAAAGTGTCGAGAGCCACCGGTGGGACAAAGTGTCGAGGACCACCAATGGGACTAATATCGGCGGGACCACCTACGGGACTAGTACCGATGGGACCACCAACGGAACTAGCACCGGTGGGACCACCGGTGGGACAAGTATCAACGGGACCACTAGCGGGACTAGTGCCCGGGACTAGCAAGGGACAGGTACCGGCGGGACCACTGGCGGGACTAGTGCCGGGGACTAGCGTGGGACAAGTGTCGGGGACTTGCGGCGCTCCAAGGAAAAATTGGGGTGCGCCGTGAGGTGCAAATAATTAAAGCAAGGCGCACCGTCAAGATCAGAGATCTTGACGGCCAAGAATATTAGTGCCACTAGCATAAGCACTAGAAATAGCGAGCGGGGAGGCCAAAGGAAAAAAAAGAAAAAGCAAAGGAAATTTGTGGTGGAGGCATGGGAGCAATCCGAAAAATCTCGAATTGGCCTCCCCCAAGAAAATGGAGTCAGAAGGGACTCCGTGAGAAAAATGGGCCTCCGGGAGAAAATCGGAGTATGAGGGTCTACCGTTTGGAAGAGATAGAGGCAAACGGAGGCTCTCATGGGCATGGGAAGGCCATATGTGTAGTCCGAGAAATAATGGACTGACCCTTGAACATGGGAAGGGCCAAAACTAAGAGGAAGAGCCTAGAAAAGGGCTTTAACGACGAATTGACACTTGGCATGCAAAAATAAAAATAAAAAGAAAAGGAAAATGGAGGTGAGAGGGAATGAGTGAGCTGGCCGTTAGTAGGGACTGACAAGTAGAGACTGGCAAGTCCCTACTGTCCAAGAAAAATGAGGGAAAAGAAAAGAAAAGAAAAGGCAAAGAAAAGGGCCTTAACGGCTAGTTGATACTTGGTATGCAAAAAGACAAAGAAAATGAAAATGAAAATGAAAATGAAAATGAGAGGTGAAAGGGAATGAGTGAGTTGGCCGTCAGTAGGGACTGCGGCAAGTAGGGACTGCAGCAAGTAGGGACTGGCAAGTCCCTACTGTCCACAAGTGGAGGAAAAAGAAAAAGAAAAGAAAAGAGAAAAGAAAAGAAAAAGTCAAAAGGGCGCTAACAGTCAAAAACGGCCACTTAGGGGGTACAATTGTGACAAGATACATTTTGGCATATGTCGGTTACAAAGTATCTTGATTTTCTCTTGAATTTGCAGAGAAAATCAAGAAAAATCAAGCCCTCATGCAACCGAGATACAACGGATTGCATGAGGTAGGCCAAACACATGTTTTAGGTGCACCTGGAGCCAAAATGAAGGCCGGATGCACTTGGGAATTGGCAGTTTTCTTTTCTTTCAGTTTGGGGCTAGTTGTGGGGTGGTGGGACTTGGAAAATGGCCCCTACTACCGTCCGAGTTGCAACGGACTGCATGAGGATGCCTAGGCTAGAGAAAATGAGTCGCGGCATGCCCGAAAGGGCTAGAAAATGGTCTCGCAGGCATAGGAAAAGTTGGGACGGTAAATGGTGACCGCGAGATGAGATCTCACGGCCGAGAAAAATCGGCACACACGCGGCACCCAAGGAAGAAACGTTGGGACTGTTGGGGGCAAGGGGGTCACAAAATAAAAATGGGACATCGTCCGGGATGTAGTCGGGGACCAAGTGGGTCCAAATAATAAAAGTCGAAAAAATGGGACGTGCGTCGACGGCACCGCCGGCGGGGCAAAAAAAATAAG